CCGTCAGTGTTTATCATAGTCATACGCAGGATTGGCAAAGCAGAGAGCATGGGCTGATCTTCAGATATAGTTTTAGTTGGGCTATAATGGGCCCGAGCCCCACTAAAGCGACAAGCAGAAACAAACGACAGCGGCTAGCCTTAAACCATGGTATTTCGCGATTTTGACAGGCTTTGTAGAATAAAGAAGGCTAAGCTCAAACACGAGTATCATGCACAAGATGGTGCCATTTGCAGGCTTGTAAACGCTCGTGCTGACTTCGCGAGCACCGAACAGCTCAAAGGCATATAAAGGTACCATCGTGAACATGCTGCATGTGTCTGAGGCTTGTCGCTGTCGTTTGTTTCTGTTTCTAGCTCTAGTGGGACTCGGGCCCATCATAATCTTTGAGTTAAACACGAGCCGTTACCCGAATGTTTGGCGATGCTGGTTGTCATGAACCAGAGCATTCGACTTGGGATCATGGCAATCGGGTACATCATGGTGTCACTTGACTCTCAGTGCGAAGTTGTCATATCATGTGGCGTCACGATATCAACAACGTTACTAGATCTAGCGACGTCCTCAATTTGAATCGACTGAACGCGGTAAGTCACGGGGTCACGTGATGTGGCATTACTTGACGGCATGTCTTGACATCATGACGTCACGTGACGATGTCACACATGGCTAATCATAGTGGCAATAAGAAAGCGCCGCAAAATACCAGGATTTATTATACATTGCAATTCTGTATATGACGATTTGATCAATACGTAGAGGAATACACGCGCCAATTTTTTTTTCCCAAATAATAAATTTGGAATACTAACAAAAAAAAAGAACCGTGAACCGTTTTGAACCGGTTACCGTTATATTTCTTTCCGGTTCAGTTCCAAGATGGCGGCGAAGATTTCGGTTCGGTTCAGTTCCGGTTCGGCTAAAAATAACGGTTCTGTTCCGGTTTTCGGTTCGGTTCGGTTCCGGTTCGACACCCTGTATTTAACATTAAACCTAAGCTGTCTTGTGGTACAGATGGCATTCCCAGTTTTATTGTGAAAGGGTGTGCGGAGCCTCTGTCTCCTGTCTTATTACACATATTTAATTTATCACTTCGTTCAGGAATATTTCTGTCTATCTGGAAAAGCGCCGTAGTTGTTCCGATTCATAAATCAGGCGATCCTAATATTGTAAACAACTACCGTCCCGTTTCATTACTGTGTAGTTTTTCCACGGTTTTTGAGATGGTAATACATAAACGTCTGTACAGTTACTTCAGCCTAATAATAAACCCCGAGCAACACAGATTTTTGAAGGGCAAGTCAGTTCAATCTAATCTGTGCTCTTTTTTAGATTATACTGTTCCATTTGTTTGTGACCATGCACAAGTCGGTGCAATATATTTCGATATGACGAAAGCCTTCGATAAGGTTGATCACAATATTCTTCTTACCAAACTTGGTAGTTATGGTTTGTGGATGAAGAAAGAATAAAACAATTAAAACAGGGACAACACAACCACATCTTTCAACTAGCAACAGACGAGTAAACTTTCAAACAGCGAGCAGCCGACTATACCCAGTAGGAGTAGGGGAAAGAAGGGGGAGAGAAGGAAAGGAAAGAAAAGAAACTCGAAGTGCAAGTCAGGGTGGTAGGGTTATCTCGGATTTTAAAAATTCAACCTCAGTTTTCGTCAGCAGGAGGGAAGGGTTAGACACATTGTTTTTTGCTGTGGTCATCGCGAATGATTCTATGATTTCCCTGCCGAATCTGCTGTCATGTCCCCCCAGGATTTTTGTGTCATCAAAAAGGGGATGACAACGCAGTATGGTTTGTGTTCAACGTCCTGCCATTGGTTTAAAAGTTATCTCTCATGTCATGAAAATTATGTTTGTGTGTCAGGGCTGATGTCCGATAAATTTTTGTCGCCTTCCGGAGTGCCCCAAGAAAGCAACCTTGGTCCACTTTTATTCTTGATTTTTGTGAACGACATCTCTCATAGCGTGAAAAACTCTGAAGTATTTCTATTTGCCGACGACTTCAATCTGTATCGCTGTGTTCGTTCGTACTCGGAGTGCAAACTTCCTCAGGATGACGCGTTGGCAATTTCAAGGTGGTGTTCTATGAACCATCTTTTGCTTAATGAGAAAATGACAAAAGTAATGTCACTGTCTAGAAAGCATCAGTCACTTGTGTTCCCTTACACAATAGACAGCAGTGTCATCTCCCGAGTGTCCGTCATTCGTGATCTTAGAATTTTTGTTGATTCATCTTTAAATTTTACCAATCATGTTTCAGCTATATGTAATGCCTCTCTCAGGAATCTTGGCGTGATATTTCGTTTTACGAGGCAATTTTCTTCTCCTGATTATCTCGTGCGTTTGTTTTGCTGCTTAGTGTGTACAAAGCTGGAGTTTGCTTCAATTATTTGGAATTGTATCAACCACACTGCATCATGCTCTATTGAGCGTGTTGAAAGACGCTTCATGGGCATAATCTATGACAGGCATTTCGGGCGCAAGGGTTACTACAACTATAATGTACTACTTAAGAAACTAGGGTTGTGCACCTTGCTCGATAGAAGGCGTTTACATGATTTTATGTTTTTCCATAAGGTTGTGAACGGAAGTGTTGATTCATCACGTTTGTTAGTAGTGTTTGTTTTCATTTTCCCTTGCGGTCAAGTCGGTTTCAGAGTCCGTTCTACCCCCGGATTTTATATAGTATGTCTCCTTTAACAAGAATGCAGCTGGAATTGAACAGGCTTGACCAATCTGCTATAGACATTTTTAGTGACGTGACAACTTTTCGACGTACACTGGTGTCAATCAATAGTGTATAATGTTGAATCTATGTGGCTGTCTGCATTTAATTTCCAATGACGAACTGTGTGCCACTATTAAGGCTATGTGCTGTTTGTGGACACAACAAAATAAAGATTATTATTATTATCTGCTTCCTCCACCCCAGCCTTCCTTTCCGTCGCCCCCACTTCTTAACCTGTCACCGACCATAGTACACATAGAGCTACGGTTGCAGTCAACGTGAGCTTTAAAATAGCCCTTGTGGATTTCTTTCTGTCTTTGCTATGTATTATTTAAACAAATGTCCTCCCACACTGAACGGCGAAATTGTAAAAATTTATTTATTTATTAACGCGATGATGGAAGTGCTGCGCCATTTGTGCCAAATTGCGCCTTGAGCGAAAGTCTGCTACATCTTGCGCCAAAGTGCCATTTCGGCTAAGAATTGCACCACACCTGCATTAAGATGGGGGGGGGGGGGGGGGGGGGAATTTATATATTTTTTTATTGGTTGATTTTAATATTCAGAGAAGTAGAAAAAAATAAAAACGGTAGAAACATGTATTTCAAAGTGTTTCTACTCACCATATACGGCATTTCATCTAAGGTCGGAGCACAGTCGAAGGCTCGAACATATACAACACAAACACTGTAAAAGCGCAAGTTATGAAACATTCCCTGCGTTTGACCGGTTTAATCGATGAAGGAACACATACAGTAAGAAGGTCAGATGCCTCGATGTTGCGTTTTTACCTTGTTTAGTTAATCCCATTGGCTCCTAGCGTCGGCTGCACTTTAAATTATGGTGAAACAAAGTTTTAAGATTGCTCGACCATTGCGTTGGCCAGCTGATGCGCTAACGGCTTGATCACCGACATCCTCTATAATTTCGGACAATGTCGGCGAAGAAACACGGGACGAGCGCTGTCTAAATAAACTACCGGGTGTAAAAGTGGGAGGGGAGGGAGGCTTTATCCGAAGTGAAGTGTGATTCATTTTTCATCAATTTGATTAGTACCCATTGTAAATGGAACCTACTCTGAACAGAGCCTTATTTCTAAAAAGAAAACTCTTTGTACCTTTTGTGCCCTATTGGTTCTTATTACATAAGGTAATAAGTAATATGCTCCAGTATCTGACAAACCCTCAGTTATTATCAAATATACTCATTTACGATGCAATCAATTTTTTTTTTTTTTTTTAATTTTTAAGTGATATGTTAACAGATGGCATCTGCTTCAAAAGCGTCAGTGACTACTCCAGACGGATATTTTGCCTGCTACCGAACCTGTTCCAAAGGGTCGAATGTCGCTTCCATCACTGATTAATGTACCAATGTTTCGAGCCATTGTTGGTTGGACAAGGCAGGAGCAAACACAGCTGCTTTAGTTTCTTTCATAACAATAGCAACTTGGCAGTTGGAGGGAGAAAAGTGAAAAGAAAAGAACAATTTGACATAATGGACAGTGTGCATAGGTACTGTATGCCTAAGTGAGCATCAGTGGGTCTAGTGGCTTTAAAATGCACAAGGATTAATTTTGTCCTACCCACCCTGGAGAAGCTGCAGATTTGGCAAAAGTGCAATTGTATTTTGCCGACGAGAATGGAGGCACGAGTGACAAGAGGATTACGATCAGAAAGAATGAGTTTCATATTGAAGGAACACTCTAGGGAAGTGTGGTACAAGACTGACTGGTACAAGCCGCTGACCGATACAAGTAGTATAGCCGCCATCGTCATCCATTTGTTGGCTTCCCTGTAAACTGGTGAATTTCATTTCATTTGCCCAAGACTTCGGGGCTCCTTGGACTACAGCCCTGTAGACCATCATTTGGAGATCACTGTTCTAGAGCGTTTCACACATGCAGCAGTTTATGAAGGCTGTTGTGCACGTTGTAAGTTAGTTTATTTTTCGAAACGGTGGACCCAAGCCCTTGGTTTAGCGGTGCAAAGCCAAGAGCCTGAAGTTGTTATGCCGTATTCCTTCTGCTCGCATTACGTGTGCAGCCTTCAAAGTTTGCGCAGGCATTGTAGGGGAAAGTTGTTGGCAATATTTTAAGGTCACATTATGGTTTTGTGTGCCTTCTCAAATTATTCAGATTGCTGCACACATGCAATTCCAGGGTGCTGAACCGCGGGCGGGTTTCGATAGGGGCATCCTTCTGTACTTGCGTTGCTCCCGGGGATGCCCTCTGTGATACAGCTTTCTTTCACCAGGCGTCATGCAGACCTTGCAAGACCTGGTGGGGCTGGAAGAGTACCAGCTGATGCAAGAGCACTGCAGGGTCATCCTCAAGCCCCTCAAGCCCTGGCCAACACCGGACGCGCTGCCGAGGCAACCATCTGATTTTTATTAATATTATTTCTTTATTCTTTGATTGCTATTATTGCAGCTGTCTACTGAAAGACATAGCAGGAGTAGTATGCAATCTTAAAACATACAAAAAAAAAAACATCAACATACTAAAACCAGCCTAAGAAAATAATTTGTCAAGTGCTGCAGTAAAAAAGTACAAACTTCGCTGAGTTGGTGCTTCAGTGTAGGGAATTCTAAGCACTAAAAACATGGACTAGTAGAAGAAGGACGTACACCACAAGTCACTGCTGTCAACTTATTTAATTTCAGAAAAAACATGTGCAGCGATAACAAGGCACATCATCCAATCTTCTCACTCGCTTAGCACTTCTTTTTAGCCCTGAACAATTGCAATAATGACAACTCTGAATCAATATTGAGGGGAAACAGACAGATGTGGCTTGGTCACGCTCAGATAAAAATACACTTCCATTACCTCTCTCGTCTTGTTTTGGTTTTCTTGCGACACCGAAACAAGAAGACAAGAGAAATGACAAGCATGTTTATTGAGTGCGAGTTTTCTCTGAATTCATTTTTCGTGAAATTCGGAGGGCATTTTTTGGAGTTTACTTTTTGCCAAAATGACGGAGTTTATCAAATTTTGTTTTTGTTAGATCACTAATTTTCCAGAGTTTGAAGTTCCATTTTGCTTGTTTCTCCTTTTTTCAAAATATTGCTCTAAATTTGTAAGGGCTATCCTGTATATCAGATGATATTTCTTCTGCTGGATTCGGCATCAGCGCCCTTGTCGTTGCTAATACTAACTGTCCCACAACAAAACTTGCAAACAAGTGGTGCTTCAGTGAACATTCACACTTCAAAATCTATAAACATAGTGGCTGGGAAAGTCATTTTCTTCTGATACGATTCCACCACCCTTCTGCGCGGTTGCACGGATCTGGGGAAGTGGCGAAGGGCATAAAAGTTTCTGTTGCCCATTTTGTTGGGGGGAGGGGCACTTTTATAAAATCTGCAGGTTCATAACTTTGACCGTTATAAGAACACAACCCCTCTTCCCCTAAAAATCAAAAGTACTATGGTCCAAATTGGAACCCCGAACAATGGCTTTTGCCGTGAAATCCCGAAATGGAACGACCCCGACCCTGGTCCTTATCAAACCTTGAAGAGATAAGCTTTACACACTCATCTGGCAATGACTTGAGATTTGAAAGAAAACTGGAAATGTCTATGCTCAGCACTAATAACCCTTTGCTCTGAACAAACTAATTTGTAGAATACCATTTCTTTTTTTCTTTTTTTTACGTTGTGATTTTAAAATACGGGGTTTATCGCTAGAGCCCCGCATATCAGTGGATATCCGCAGTAAACTGGCGGATGCATATAATAATCAGATTTTGTGAATTCCGGTGCTGATGTGGATTACCGGGGCTGTGGATCCGGATCGGATTCGAATTAATGCGTGTCCGGGTCCACACTTTTTGACGAGGCAGCCCACGTGTGTGACCGCACAGTGTGGAGTGAATAAATGAGTGATACTATGAAGTGCAGCATTGAAAGTATTGTGGTAGCAAAATACTCCTTTCGATAAAAGGTGCCAATTGGGGAGAAAGTTGTTCTTTATGTCAAGAAAGACGTGATTCTCGCCAAAGATCGCTTTAGAACGCTCCACCTCATCAAAAATGCTGTCCCTGGAAAGAAGTAAAGAACGCAGGAGTATCAGCCGTCCCAGGAAAGCGCATTCTTGTTTGGCTGGGAAAGGGCAGAAAACATTCTTTGGGCAAAGGACACGCAGAACATATGAGCCACAAGAAAGTAGAAGAAGCCTGTAAGTGGCTTCTTCGCACACAAGTAGATCGAGGAGACTGAATTCAATCCTCCGGAGTGGTGGAACTTGTGAAAGCACGAATTTCCGCACCCCATTCTTGCAGCGCAGTTTGTGCATGCTACCCCAGCATCAAGTGTACCAACAGAGAGAGACTTCTCATCAGTGGGTATCAATATAAGAGAGACAAACCAGTCTGAATCCGTCCCATGTTGAGAATGTTTTGTTTCTTCTACACAGCAACTATGGCGCCTGGAACACGTCTTCGACTGGTGTGTTTACTGCATCCCAAAAAAGTGGCCCGTCGATTTCCGCCCGATGACGTCATAGAAGCGTCATGCTGTCGCCGGTGACGACCCTGGCAGTGTCTCAGCAGCTATGGTGGGTGTGGCAGACTCCTGTTCTGCTGCAGGTCGCTCTCCATTATGGCAGTGCACGGAAGCTATAGCAACCGGAAGTTGGGACACCTGGGACGACAGTGATAAAAAATTTGGGGGTTTTACGTGCCAAACCTACGACGGGCATCTGGCACGCCCCAGCGGAGGACTGAGGATTAATTTCGACCACCTCTTTTGACGTGCAACCGAAAGCTCGGTTGCACGGCGCCTTCTCCGCAATAAGCCTCCGTCATATAGTGGGCACCTCGGTCGGGATTCGAACCCGCCACCTGGGGATCCGTAGGCCGGCGCTCTCGCCTCTGAGCCGCCGAGGCGGCGGGGATGACAGTGATGACAGCGACACTTGCGTTAGCTCATGCTTTTCGCCAGCATTTCTTCGGCCAACCACCAGGATCGCGACAGGCTGCAGCGTGACACTCCAGCTTTTGCGACGTCATTTGCTGCCACATTGGGACCACTTTTGATGTATAGGAGGCTAAACACACCAGGTCAAAAAGGCGCTTCAGGCACCATAGCAGCAACCTCGACAAGTGAAGCGTTGCATGTCTGTGCGTTTACTTTTTCTTGACAGTTGGTACTGACTTGTTTTTAAGTATATGGCTTCTAGCATGCAGTTTAGGGTTGGTGCTTAAAACTGAAACTGACAGGAGGTGTTGCCGTTAATATATATTGTGATATTTTCCCAGTTTTACACTTGCACCTTACCACATATACACGAGTATATTTAGCTGCAGTGAATTGAGTGCCTCTCCTCTCCCACTTTTTTATTGTTTGGGCTAATTAAAATGACACAATGTTATTAGTCTGTCCTTGGTTAATTTTAATGTTTATAAAATACATGCCTGCGTAAAGTGGGCTTACAAAACAAAAAGAAAAATAAATAATAGAATTTCCTTCCTTTTGATCGCGTCTTCTGGGTGTCAGCGTCACGGACTCCCAATGACCATCCGATAACTGCGATCATCTTTCCAGCAATGTGAAGTGTGTCTGGAAGGATGATCTCTTATTTTATATATTCGATAAAACGGAATACAATAAAATAACTTTTGCGATATTCTGACACAGAGTTCTTCGTACGAAGGTGAGCAGACGGCTCGTAGGGTACCACTCAAATGCTTTTTTTTAATTTTTATTAATGCTTGATTTCATTATGTAAAATTAATGTGCTGATTTAGGGTCGGATGCAGATCAGAGGCAGATAAAATTATTTAAGAACTTTGCGGATGTGAATACGAAGTCTGCAGATGTAGATTGGATGCAGATGATCAAACTGTTTTCCGCACAGAGCAGAAAATTTTACCGGTGAGTATTTCTCAGGGTGTCTTTTGTAGTTATCCAATAGCACGGAACCCTCTTTACAAGTTTCAAGGGAATTTCAGTCTCGTAGTGCTTGTGGGAAAAATGAATGTTTGAAATCGTTGTTTAAATTTGTAGTGTTTAATTGATCTGGTGTGACTAATCCTGGACCATCCGTCAAATGAAAAATTATATATTTTTCATGGTGATAAGAAATTTGTCACAAAATAAGGATCACAAATATTTTAGATTTATTTATTTTTGTCCTAGCTTGTAACGTTTGGTTGTTGGCTTCTTTAAGCAAGTTTGACAGAGATTTGTAGTTCCAAAATTCATTCAGGATGAATTTAACTGCCTTTTTCTTAATGCTTTCTATTCAGCTCAGTACATCTGCTGTTTAGGGAAACCAAATGGTGCTGGCATACTTCAGCAGAGCTCTAATTAAGGTTTTATATGCCATGCTTGTTTCAAAGTCTGCACATTTCAGTGTTTGTAGCTGATTCCAAGTCAGTTTTTTTTGTTAATGGTGACCCAAGGATATTTGTAATGGTCTGCATTTTTCACTCCTCTTCCATTCAGTGAATAGTTCAATTTCATGGGACTCTTTTTTTTTTTAAGTTATTGACATCGCTGCAGCTTTCTCATAATTTACTTACACTTGCACCTGTTTGTCCAGTCCTCTATCTGCAGTAGAGCACTGTTAAATTTCACTTTATCCTGCCGGGTGCATAGTTTGCGATATGTCTAATGATGAGTCATTAGTTTCCCAACAAATAGCATTCTGCAAAGATTATTTAAACAATTCAAATGTATCTTTTCATAGTACCTATTGTTTGTATATTGTGTATTGTGTAAAGAGAAACAAAAAGTGTGCATGAAGAGCAGTTTCAGTCGTGGTTCCTTAAAGACTACAGTTACCTATCTACCTGTAGTAAAGGCTTTACAACTGCATCAGTGGGTGCTTGTGCCATCAAGTTCAAGCTGGATCCACATTGTCCGCTTGGCCACACCTACGTTGCTTATCACCCAGGGGGCCATTGAGGGTGAAATCAACACGCTGCTGACGGTCTCAACTTTTCTTACTGATATATGTTAGCGTGAAGCTGCATGGATTCCAATAACTGTGTGACAACTGCATTGATAACGAGCAATTTCGAAAACCAGATATACACTTGTATAGTCTACAGCTTTAGCTAGTCCACACAACATAAATTATCAAAACGTCTAAAGTCCATCAAATACGACAAGTGTCAATACCCCCGATTTCGGCCAATTTTTTCCGCAGCCTTTATTTTTTTATTTTTATTTTCTGGTTAATGCCGAAAAGTTTGCCGCCTGACTGTACCAGATTTCACCACGCTTGCAAGGGCAGTATAGTCCAGAGCTTTAACTATAGTCCACACAACATAGAATATTATCTTTTAAGCATGTACAGTTCATAAAATATGACGTGTATTAATACCTCCAGTTTCAAACAATTTCTTCCGCAGCAGTTGTTTTTCAGTATTTCCCGGCCAACGCCTTAAAGTCTGTTGTCTAACGGTACCGCGTTTCGCCGCGTCCGCAGGGGCGCCTTCTCCGACAAGGACGGTAGCCTGCTCTGGCTAGACACGGACATCCTGGTGCGGTGCCGCGCCTTCTTCACGAGCATCCAGTACCGGGCGGCCATCTTCGCCGACTGCCCATCATTCAAGCCCCCGGGGGCCTTCGCCGAAGCGGTGGCGGACGTCGCCGGCAAGGCGCCCACGGTCGTGGTGGTCCACAACAGTGACTCCATGGACGTCCTGCTCGAGGTGTTCCGCGAGGCGGGCGTGCTCTACCTCCCGCACGACCTCTGCCTGCACGAGGAGTCCGCAGCCTTCCCCGACGGGCCGCGGCACCCGCTGCGGGAGCTGCACGGAGACTGCGCTGCACTGGGCAGCGAGCACCTGGTCATGACGCAGCGGCGGGTGTTGCAGATGGGGCTGCGTTGTCCAAAGGTCCGTCGGCTCATTCTCTTTTAGCACCTTTTGCATCTTGTGCTAGGGTTGTGGTGAGGTGCCCGAAACGCTTTTTTGACTGGTGCATTTCCCCAGTACAGTATAGCTTCGTTACAAAGATCTGGTCTAAGCAGACGTTCGGTTATAACATACCAATTTGTGAAGTTTGACTGGTTTTCCTGTCTATGCCATTGAACCAACTCTGCTTGTAGCAGACTTTGTTTTTACGTATATTAAGATATAATTGATTATATTGGAGTAGTTCATCATTGCATAGTGGACTCTTGGGCGGCAGTCATTATTTCAGGCATTATGCGGCTTTGGTTCAATAACGGTGGCATCCATTTTGCGAACTGCCGTTGTTGCTCTCGGCACCTCGCTTTCCTTTTACGACCCGATGTGCACTATGATGACTGTCATGGCTACACCTCAATAAAAAAAATCGCCACTTCTAGAAGTTCACAGATTTCAGTAAACCAGTTATTTCCTAAAAACACCAGGAATATTGGACAAGCGTGCGTCCCAACTACTTTCGCCATCTCTCTGCGACCGAGAGCGGGAGCCCCTGTAAATCAATGGGCGAAACTAGGTAGTTTCTTTTCATTTACTCAAAAACTGTCCCAATTATCACTTTGCACTCATGGAGTTGTATTAGGTACAGCATCCTTATTTTTTTCGGGTGAGTTTGAAACTCTTACAATTAAGTTAACACAGCCAAAAGGCAATTGAAAATATTTACATTCCGCCTATAGCAAGACCCCCAAGGGTAAGATCGCTGTGCGAAAGCAGACGACCTTCAATATTGGACTGCACTTATTGGTAACAGGTTGCCAATGAACCAAGCTATTGTCTAGTACCTCTCATTTTGAAATTAATTAAGTTTAAGATAAGCCAACAGTGTACCTAATACAAGGCAGCACTTACATAGCCAGAAAATATTTGGGAGGTGCTTTAGAACGTTATTGCAATCACAACCCCCCCTCACACACACACAATTTATCAAGACAAAATCTCACCTTTAAATTATGATCTCGACGTAGAAAAGTGCACAGGAGGCTCCAAGAACTCAGTTGCGAAGGAAACATTTGAAATTGTGACTAATAAAAACAAAAAAAGTTACGATGGCTAAATATTTTAATGTAACATAGAAAATAAAAGGTCCTGATATATCAAGCAAATGTAACAGTGCAAGTGAATGACTTTCGTTGATCTTCCTACTGCAAAATTTGAATATAACAGAATATAAGAGATCCCGATATACCAAGCAAATGCAACAGTGCAAGTGAATAACTTTTGTTGATCTTCCCTGTGCACTATAGTGCATGAGAAAAAAATGTGCAATAAGTAATCCTTCAAACTTGTTTGTGAATATATCCCCCGCCCCCACCAAAAGAAAGGAGTTCTGGATCCGCCCCCCATGTGCAATATCGGCTTCCTTGATACAGGGGTTTCTAGCGGTGTCCTGCGTGTTTATCATATCCTGAAATCAGGGTGTCGAACCGAACTGTGCATAAACCGAAAACCAGATCAAAACCTTTTATTTTGATCAAGCCAGAACTAATTTGAAACCGAAATTGATTGTGAAAGGGGAAGAAAAACCTTTTCTACTAGAAAGCATGGTGTAAGGTGCAAAAACTGATAGACACAAGGAAGAAGACACATACAGGCACCTAATGTTCACCAGCTAGCCCAATTACAGGTTCATCTACAGCGCATCTTTCCTACTATTCAGTTCAAGGTGAAAACGCACACTTCCTACAGAACCTAAGCATGCCAAATTTAGTAAAATAAAGAAGTCCTCCATAAGCATGTCTGTGCAAACAAAGCTTATTGGCAAGTGAAGAAGCTAAACACTTGCACCCTACTGGAACTTACATTTTTATACTATGTTTATCCTAATACACTGCGCTCGCTTAGTACTGACTTCGCAAGCAAGGTTCCACGACAATGGGACATTTTGCTTTATTGAGACAACATGACAGGACGGCCGGTACAAACCTTAAAATGGGACTATCGCAGTGAAAGCTGAATGTCTGGCCACCATATTTAATGTCGAGACATGAGCCAGTTTGCGTTTGGTTGAACCGGCAACCGAACCAATATTTTGCACGTACGACTGAACCGGAACCGAACCAGAACAAGCTACTGAACCCAAAGCTGAATCAAACCGGAATAATGACCGGTTCGACACCCTGCCCGAAACGCGAACCTGCTGCTTCCGTAATAATTTCTTGCCACGCAATCAACCGTTAATTTTAGGTGGCCATTCGTATGGGACCTCGCGACACGTTGCAAAAATTGCCGTGTTTCGCAGGTGACAGTTCTGAATGCGAGTCTCCCAGACATCACGAGGGCAGAGGCGGATCGCTTTGTCTGGTCCGGCCTCGTTCACGAGTGGAAGACGCTTGTCCTGGGACACCACTACCGGGGAAGCGGGGGGGTGTCCGAGTCCTACTCCGAACCGTCGTTCCATTGCTTGCGGATGGTCGACCTCGTCTGCCCCCTCGTGGAGCACCTGACAGTGTGCACAAGCTCGCCGGACGTGGTGATCATGGCGATGTGCTTCGACGTCGAGAGCCTCTCTGTGACCTTCGTCCCAGGACTGTGCTCGTTTGATGCCTGTACGCCGTGCCTGGCCATGTCCCGACGCCTCGAAGCGCTCTCTCTGCGCTATTTCGACGGCGTCGACGTCGCCTATCTCGCGGCGGTGCTCCCCGGCCTTCGCAAGCTCTCGCTCGAGCACTGCACGATGCGAAACACCGAGGCGCCCATGAAGCCTTTCGGCGAGCTGCAGGAGCTGGAGGTTGGAGCCATGCCACTTCCGTCGTTGCGGTTTCTGCTGGATGGGTGAGAAGGCTTCAGACTGGCGTGCCTGACGGCGTTTCCTCTATTCGTAACTCACACAGAAACTTGCTTTATTCCTACGTTGGGGGTAAACTATTAAACTATTAGCGGCATGCACAAACTTCAGGGGGTGCTTCTCTAGCTGTCGTCATCGTTCTTCGTGACGTCACGGGCAGGACAGACTGGCACAGATCATGCAGATCTTGGATCCCTTGGCTCGTTAGCTTGCTTCATGCGCTGTTTGAAAAATGTGTGGCGTTATACTTTCATTATCCATGCTCTGGGAAAAGGAATTCGACACCATCTACTACGTTTTAACATTTCCAGCTTTGAACGTAAGAATATGAAGGTCACTTCGAGGACGAGAATGTGGAGAAGCTCCCGTTTACACTCACACTTTAAAGGGGTAGTGAAACGAAATTTTAGCGCCGATCTTGTTGCATAAATATGGGCTAGGGACAGGCACCACCTCGGAAATATAAATATTGCGCTGTAAAACACAGGAGAACTAATTTTAAACATAATTAAACGATTTCAAATTCTCATCTGGTGGATGGGGGGAAGTTCTCGTGACATCACTTGTGCCATAATAGCAGCGCCGTTCTGCGGCAATACGGCGTGCCGGCAGAATTCGCCTAGGCCTGAACGCGTTTGCAAAGCCTTGGCGGAGAAAGCCAAAGCGTAGTCGGCTACAGTGAGCTCGTTCTCGTTGCGGCACTTCGCACGACACGACCCGAGCATGCTTCTGGCACGGCCGGTATTAGTTGCTGCGAGTCGCGAGCTGCGAGCCGACGTTAAAAAGAATATGTTTGAACTACAAGGGTGTCAGCAAGAGCCACGCAAATACCTGTTCACACTCGGAGCGGACACATGCATTTGATCGAAGTGCTGGATTCGCTCTGTTAGACCGCGTTTCCGTAAGCGCTTCTGGACCGATCTTTTACGATTGCAACTCGATACTGACATGACACTCGGCAAAGAAAGGTTAGACCGACAGTGACGTAGCGTTGAGTCAGAATGAAAATGGCATACTAATAACAGAGTGTACATACCGAGTTGCGAAGGTAATCCGTATGGCTTTTATTTGAGCTCTATATCACACAAAACAAGGAGATAGAATCAATGAGAATTCCTTTTCGACGACAGCGTGCGTCACCGCTGTCTCGGAAAACAAGGAGATCGAGATGACGAGGGGAAAATATTGACCTCTGAAATTTAGTTGAGGGATCAAACTACTCGTCCGGTAAGGGTCCACAAGGGTCGCGCGAGCATATTCCATTCAGTAGGCCAGCCGGTCATGGACCGACGGTCTTGGCCAAGGACCGCCGGAGCAACGGTGCGCCGAGTCGATGTTGCTGCTAGGCCTACTACATTCTGCCGAGCTCGCTCGGTCGGCAGAATCGTGGCCGTTGTAGCTCTTCTCGTGTGTTTGTGGATCCTGCGTTCTTGATCGTCGTGGTCTGTTTTAAGTACTCCTTTCTTTTTTCTTGCTAGTTGAAGTCGGGACGCACGAGAAGAGCACGTAGAAAAATAAATGTCCGTTGGTGGTTGATACCAAGTAACTGAGCAACGCTGTCGGCCTTGTTGATTTGATCGTAAAAAGTGCGTAAGACAGCTTCGGAGCTGTCGTAGGATTCTGTCGTAACCTGCGTAAAGGTTACGACAATTTCATTTCGAAAGTACGGGTTTTCTCTCAAATTTGTATTATGCACTTTTTTCGTCGTGAGTTCGCTTTGAGAATCCGGCCTCAGAGCTGGTTTTGTCAGTGGTGCCGTGGTTGCCGACTTGCCGTGGTGCAGCGTGCGAGCAGCCCTTGCACATCTCAAATGGCCACGTTGTCACAGGTGGTAAATCGTCGACGCGCCACCAAGTGGCAACGCTCGTAACTACAACATTCACGCCGTAGCCTTTCCCGTCTGGCACAAGTGACGTCACGAATGCGGCCAATATCCCAAGACGCATCGCGCTCTCCGATGGCCGATTTTTGAGCGCGCGCCCAATCGAGCCCATCAGGGTGAAAAATATAGCCATCCGTTCAAAATACAAACGCGCGATTATGATTTATGAATATCATTGATCATATTGAACCTATTTCTGACCATAATAGGTGTATTTCAAGTTTCGCTTCAGTATCCCTTTAAAATAACAACAAGTGTACCTTCCTGTGGAAGGTGCACAATCTGGATGCGGTGCGCTGTCAATTCATGCATTGAAAGCAGCGAATCGCAATAACCGCGCTTAAATGGCTCCACCTGATTCTCTGTTATTTTGGACGTGTGCCACCAAAGCCATTTAAGCAGACGAGCTTCAACGGCCGTGGGTGCGGAAGGCACTCGATGAGCACACAATATACTTACTCAATCCTGCACAATTCCTTTTTTTTTTTTTGAAATTCTGGACAACATTAAAACCTAAAACACCCTGTACTTCTTTGTGACATTTGATATTTATATAGGGGGTGCGACATATACACCAGTGAGACTTCTAGGTTAGCGAATATGGTATTCTTATTTTGTGACCAGATACTCCCAACTGTGAACAATAAACTTTCATATTTTCCTATTTTTGACCTTTTCATGGCCAAGTTTTTTTTCCCAAAAGATTTTTCCCAATTATAGGGTTTTGTTTCTAAAATATAGTATAAAGAAAGGGTCAATGTGATGGCTTTTTCTTAATTATCTCTAGTGGGAGCATATAAAGTGCTTGCAAGCTGTTCAGGTTTAGAAGCATAAGGAAATATGGAAGGTGAAAAGTCGCCTTTCTTCCATTTGATTCTGTTGGAACACATTTGCTTCTGCAACATTCGGTGGTTTCAGATTCCTAACCGGAGGTACCTTCAGAGCTTCTCCGTCAGACGGCAAGCTCTTACCCTTGGAGTTTCATCCTGAGAAGCGCTAGAAGCCAACACGCAAAGTGACCATCTCTCACTTGTCACGTGCGCGAAGCGTCTAGTTCTAGAACTATAAATAGCCCCTGGCAAAGCGAGACAAAACTGTGTGAATGCTGTTGTGTCCTGTGATCATAAGAGTAGAAGACGATGAGCAGGTCACGGTAACACAAGGAGGGGGCAGAGGCACCACAATAGAAAGCAGTTGTTTGTTTCTATACTTTTCTTGTCTCGTTAATAACTTACACGCGCAGTAGACAAGGGACATAACAATATTATAGTTTGCCAAAAATATAACGAATAGCAACACCTCGCACGGTGCACGGGGTTTCGCATCTGGTCGGGCACTTCAACCTAGTCATGTTCCATATGCAGGGAATTTTCTCTTTTACAGGGAATTTTTGGTCTCAATATTCATGAAAAGGGAAACGGGAATTTTAATGCAATTGCAGGGAATTTTAAGGAATAACGAGAAAATTCGGGAAAAGCTTTAGGAATAACTAAATGTATATATTTTTTTAAATGTCTCGTGATCCAAATGTTTCAAGAGAAAGTGAGAGTCACGGTGTAAAAAGGAGGGGTGTCTCAACGACTCCTAGGCACAGCAGGGGCCATGTTTAAAAATATAAACTGACGACTAAAATTTTGTTTTTTTTAAACGAGCGATTTCACGCGGCTTTTGTGGGAAGATGCGCGCAAAGTGGCCTGCATGAACACAGAAATCTGTTGCTGCGAAAGATCAAGGTAAAAAAATGTGGGGAAATATCTGGGGATGGGGGGGGGGGGATTCAAAAGTAGCTCAAAAAGGGAATTTTTGTACCAAGGAAAGGAAGTTCTCGGATGTGGTATGGGACATCACCTTTTCAAATTTAGAACGGACGCCGTACAGGTACGAGGACAACCGTCGGAAGGTTAATGACCCTCGCACGACACGCAGGTGCCCCAACCTGACGTCGCTGACACTCAACAACCAGGATGCCTGCATCATGTTCCTGCAGCCTTCCTTCCCCAAGTCGCAGCTGCGGAAGCTGAAGGTACTCAAGTTGCGCCTGCACTCGCCGTTGAAGCAGTGCGGGCTCCACGTCGACAACCTGCGTCAGCTGACCGAGGACCTGCCGGCGCTGCGCCACGTGGCGACAGACAGCCTGGACGTGCGGCTGTACGTCGAGAACCGAATGAAGCACGCAACACTGCACTGGTACGACTGCACGGTCTGCGCGGCCAAGTTTCCCCAACAGAGCAGGCGGCACGGGAACTTGTGGAACAAGCTGCACTCGAGGCCGACGTGATGAACAGACAGTGCAGCACGTACGCTGTGTCAGGTGTTTCGGAAAAGAGTTAGCTGTGTTTTCTTCGACGAAGAAAGGAACAACGCGTCAGCAGTTACAAGTTTCAGCTAACTTGTGCAAAGGCTTACAAAATGCTATTGCACAGTATGCACGTCGAATCGACACGAGATTGTTCACGGTGTATGTTTCTCATCATGTGGCAAAAACTTTTATGAGGCTACCTGCTAGCAAACTCCAGTCACGTAAAATATTTTTAAGTTCTCGCAGGTTTTCTTTGAACCTCAAAAGAATTAAATGCGCAGGGGCCACCCCATGGAAACAGCATGGCCGGATATTTTTAACACACGCACACCTTTTTGCATTGGAGGGCTTGCGCACAAACTAATATTTTAAAAGTTAAGTAATTAATTCGTCAATTAGACAGTTTGGCACGTCGCAAGAAATATCTCAACATACTCTATAAGACAGAATTGACTGCATTAGTTAGACATGCATAGTGTATACAAGTTAGCTGAAATACCCTGGAGTCTGGTGCAGGTTAAGAATAGTGGAACTAGCTTCTTTAAATCCCTCAGCAGAGCGAATGAGGAGGCAACTGGGAGGAGGAAACTACTAGTCATGGCGAGCAGAGAGCTTTGTTGGGGGGGGTGGTGGGGGGGCTTGTTCTGTTTACCTGCAGCAGACTATAGCGGTTGTTATCAAATGCCAAAGTTTGAGAACTTGCCTTTATCCGATTCAAAAGTTCCGAGCAGCTTTCAGAGATTTGAGACAAGAGGAGGAGGCCCGTTCCCGGGAGCCGACGCCGTTCATATCCCCATGTATTTGTGGGTTTCTCGGGCCATCATTGTCTCACTGAAAATTTCCGAAAATTGCTTTTTTGTTGGATAACGGTTAGTAATGAAACTTACACATCTGGTGTATACCGCCAGAACTACATTTGGGGGGGGGGGGGGGGGGGGGGGGGGGGGGGAAGAGAAGAGGAGGAGGAGGAGACTGAGCATTTGGCAATATATTGTTTTTGTAGTAACACAGTCATTAAAAAGTGTTGATTGCAAAGTATTGTAATCAGAAAAAAAAAGTATTTTTGTGAAAGCTTTAGGTACCTGTGATGACTCTATGCGAATCTGAGTGTTTCTCTTTTGTTTTCAAGCTCACGCAGTACAGTGCCCAACTATGTTCAGCAAACACATAGGTGCAGTTCCTTCTCACGAAACTTTGCATTCCTTGATTGTTTTAATAAAGCTACTAAGTGAATTTTCGGCCTTCAATGTGACGAAGGTTGAGCACTTAATATATGGCCCCAAAAGATTTTTTTTTTAAAAAACTAACTTGTGTAATATTCTTTTTTTTTTTCCTTCGTAGCTCCTTCCATACTTCCTTATGCCTAGAGTTATCAGTGCCATGCAAAGAAAACGTGCCTTTGGTAAACTTTAATGTTTATTTGAGGTTTGAGTCTTAACTGTAAATCTAGTCGATCAAGTAATTCATCATCTATAGAATTTATAAAGAGCAACTGCATATCTAGTCGATCAAGTAATTCATCATCTATGTAATTTATAAAGAGCATTAAAAATATCAAAGCTAACTCATGGAACTCGTAAACGCTGCCACCCTTGCAGTCTGATAGGTTTTCTTTCTGATTTTAGAAACCATAAACTAAATACTGGAATGCTTTAAAAAGACTGGCTTTAAACTTTTGGTGAAGCCTTAGAAGTCAAGCCTTAGAAGCTTTCCTTCTTTGGGTGAAACTGGAGTAGAGATTTTGCTGAAACGTCATCTATGTAACATTGGTGTTCCTTAACATTGTTTTTACATTTTTAGTGGGCCTTAGTGCACATTGTGCTAGCTAATCAAAGCCAGTGTCTTCAGAACCAGCTTATTTTGTACCAAACGTACGACAGCAGCATGTATTTGCTGCTGTTTAAATCTCACTAAACAAATTTGTTTTTATAAATTGTTGTGCAGAAAGCATGTTTTTTTATATGAACCAGCTTTTCCAGTTATAATCTGCCCATCTTTCTCTGCAGAATTAAAGTTGTACCAGCTTTACGAGTGTTGCACAAAACCGTTGACACTAGGCTAGTGTTCATTTTATGTTCTTTTGGATGAATAAACATTTTATGAATGCCACCTTCAACCTCATGTTTTTAGTTTTTACTAAAAGCCAGCAGTGATCATGTCTCAAAGAAGTTTAGCCAGATGAAGCATACCACTGTGCATCTTATTTCATTTTTATCACGTTTTTTTTTTCATTTAGAGCGGAGCTCTTGGGCGCCAGTTTGGCTTGAGCGGTGTCGCCGTCGCCGTAACTGTGCAGTGCCATTATGGGTAAATTTCCCCGCTAAATCTGGCGGAAACATTTCTCTGGGGAGTCACGTGACCCCTCGCCAAGGTCACGTGACCCCCCCCCCCCCCCCCCTCTTTCTCCCCACGAGAACACATGACCCTCGGTACCCTTCCCTTCTTTTCCTCAAGAGCTGCACTCTAATTCGGCGTTACAGGAAGTTGTAAACGGCGTTCTTCTTTCTAAGTGAGAATCAAATGTAGTATATCTTGTTTAGTTATTTTTTGTCAACGAAAACATGGAACAACTTTCATCGTTTTCATTTTAACGTTTTACCAATAACGTTTAGCAAAAATTGACATTTGCAGAAAAAACATAACCCCAAAAATCTATTTTTTTCCTTCACAAGGACGAGAGAGTGTTAAGCCACCGATCAAATCTGAATGATTTGCTCTCTCATCTTCCTCGTATTCTTGCATAATTACTGTGCTGCAACTCGATTACTTTTCAGGTTCTACTTTTACAGCGCCCAAAAATATGCAGTGGTTAGTCGAGAGGAGTGACGCGATGGCATGGCTATCCGACATCAAGCCACCAGTATGTATTCAGTAGTCAGCATCCAACCTCCAATCCGGTGTTCTGGAAGCCAATGCAGAATGCCTCCGATTCAATATACATTGTCTTGGTGCATTCATAAGGCAGATGAGAAAGCTAGCTGGCACATTCCCTGCACACTACTGCTCACTGCAAAAAGTGTTTCCCAATTCGTCCATCGAAGCTACACGGAACAAAATGGCAGAAACTGTTATCCCATTCAAAATATGAGTCTGATATAAAACAACCAAATTTATTTCGAACAGGCAAGACATGACAGGTTTTTCTGCGCCGCATCAACTCTGGCTGTAAATAAACTGCTTGCCCACAATCTTTGCTGCTTAGTGCGTAACAAAAAAAACAAATTGATCATTGTGTCCCATCGGGCAGCCAAGGTATTGCTGGGTCTGAATACGTCGAAATGAATGTAATATGGGCTCGATGCATTTCAGAAAATATACGACTAGCAAATAATCGGCGAGGCACCCTTTTGGCTATGAGCAGACGCAGAATGAATTGGCCCCGCAGCTTGTATGCCAAAATGCTTAGAGTGTCGGGCAGGAAGTTAACGACTTCATGCAAGTGGGCGTTTTTTTTTCTTTCTGGGGAGCGCCTGACTGTGTGGATTTCACTCAAACTAGTGCCAATGTTGCGGGCTCAGCTGTTATCACTTTTGTGCCACAGCATCGTGTGAATAAAAAAAGGCGAAGGATTCACAAGTTGATGAATAATGGGCACTCGTAAAAAGAAAATATTCACCAGTGAACAAATTGAAACAAGATAACGAAGCACTGTCAAAAAAAAAAAAAGGCCCATTTTTTATTAGCTTGTTTTCGCACCAGCGATTGCCGTGCTTGCCTCCTCAAGAAACCTCTCCCTCCTTTTGTTTGGAGGACGAAGACGCAGGCAGAAGCAATAATGGCAGTTTATTTGCGTCAATGGGCTCCCCCCCCCCCGTCTGCTTCACACAGACGATGCTATTACGCTGGCAGTAATTCGACCAAAAGCCGCCAGTCAGGCGCTCGAGGAAAACACCCGCTCACGTGGAGTTACTAGCTTCTTGCCCAACTGTTTAAGCAGTCCACTCTTAGAGGGAGCACCAGAACGCATGGCTGGCACTCCACAGAGTGCCAGCGACTGTGACAGACTGTGAGCACCGGAGGAGTGTACCATGTGTCGACCAGCTACTGCAACGCTTTTTCACACACATCACAGTGCATGTGCATTGTCTGCCTTTGCACCGTAGCGTGCGCGAAAAAGCGGTACAGTAGCAGACGACGTACGGCACACACCACCTCTGGTGCTCACTGTGTCTGTGCGGGGCTTGTGCGAGTGCTTGCAGGCGGCGCTGCACGGAGTGCCAGCCACGCGTTGCTCCCTTTACGAGTGGACTGCTCTGTACATCCATCCTGAACAGGTGTAATGTTAGTGCTGCTGTAAAGACAGGCTAGCTCCCATAGAAAATGTACCAGGATGTAAAATGCATGCTGTATGACTGCATCTTCCCCGGGTGGTGTGTTGTGACTAACACCAAGGGTTACCGCTTAAGCTGCTGCACTGGTGACCACACTGCTGAACGACTAGTTTTCACAGATAAAAATCATAAAACCATCATTTATTTGTTTGCACTAGCTGTGTCGGCCATAGTTTTTTGCACTTTACGTACATAGTTTCCATTTGAGTTAACAAATCGTCGGAACATGCAACTCTAAAGTCGCAGCAGGTTTGCATGCTGCCTCAAGGGGTTAGCACAAGATAACAAATAAAGGATTGGAGGTTTCGAAAAACCAGTAAATAATAGTGATATGTTGCAAGCATCAATGTTCATTCCCAGCTCTACAATACAGTAAGTCACATCCATCCTTTCCTCTTCAAACATCCATGCATGCGCTAGTCTAATCTATTGGCTACCGCTGTACACCATATCTTAAGCATTGCCTTATGAGCCCCACAAAAAGAGGCAATTTTTGAACCCGTCATTTTTGCATGCAATCTAGTCACTATAATGATGCGAAAAGCACGTTTCCAATAGACCATTCATGCAGGCAGTGTATGTTTCCGTTCCGGTACTATATGACTGGCATGTCATTCATTGTTGAACCAAATTGATATGTTTCTATGATTCATGGGCAACAGTATGTAACCCGCTATAAAATTCTGTTTCGGTAATGGTCATTAGGTTCGTAAAACAAACGCGCAGAAAGCGTTCTATCCCAAAATAATCAACAGCGCATCATCCACACATTGAAAGGCAGAATGGACATTGCCTGCACAGGTAGCCCTTAATTTGTGTAGAATCCCCTCGTCCTACATCTTCCAATGCTGCCAAGTCGTGAGTCAGCATTCTCAAATAAAATACAAGTGTGACACATTCTGTCAAATCTTTGGCAAGTTCGAGGAATGTCTTGTAACCTCTCATGGTCTCTAGTTCAGCATCTGTACATAAACAAGACCCCGGTTCACACGGTAATGGGCCCACATAGCTATACATCACTCGGCAAATCCTCGGCCGTCATTTAGACATATCAAACTGAAATCTGGATGCAGGAGCTCAAGTCCAAACCCCTAGTTACTGGAAACACAAGCCAAACGTGGAATTGTAGGCATGCATTGGTGCTTCTTCGCGTCGATGAACACTATCGAAGACCTAAGGTGTGGTTGTCGGTCCCGTCGTTGCCTCAAAGCCGTAGAGTCGTCATCTTTCCAACACTTCTGGCAATGTCCAGCGCGGAATGAAGACGGACCCCGGTGCACCGCCATTTTTTTTCACGAGTATCGAAGTTCCAGCAGCGAACGGCACGGTAGGGATCACAAGTCCACGGCACGACGACCGTCCCAGAGTGCCGCACCACTTGGGAAGGCACGGATGAGAAGACCCAATGGCAGCTCCAGCATCACTTGCGATGGACCTTGTGCCAGATGCTGCTCTGTTCCTTGCTATGCTGCGGGAACTTGGCCGCACACACCGTGCACGACAGCCACCCGAGCGCCACGTGGGGCAGGCGGCTCTCCAGGAACAGCCGCAGCGCGTAGGACTCTACCGCCACGTATCGCAGAGAGGGCAGGCTGTCAAACACCGTTTCGAGTCTCGCCGTGGACACCCCCAGGTCTGCGAGGGATTCTGGGCAAGCCAGCTCCAACTGCTCCAGCCTCTTGAGAGACAAGTTCCCCGGGAACGTGCTCAAGAAGCGACGGCTGGCCGCGAGGCCTCGAAGCCTCAGGGTCACCAGCTTCGGACACGCCGCCAGAAGGCTCTGGAGCTCGTCGTCGGTCAGGACGTCCAGTTCCAGAGTGTCCAGCTCCGGAAAGGAGCTCTTGGACACGAGCCGCTTCGAGGTGTGACACGAGGTGACCGAGAGTCTCCGGAGTCTGGCGGAGCGTGCGGCAATCGCGGAGAAGTCGATCCCCAGGAAGCCTTTGAGGGCGAGCGAAGTCAGGCTGAACTTGTCGAGGAGCTCGTAGCAGAAGCTCATGTTCCATATGGAGCGGGACTCTGCCCTCATGGAGAGCGAGGCAATCTCGTCGAAGTCCACGATGGCGTAGATTGCAGACAGCGACGCTCCGTAGACCTGGGCAAAAGTCGTTATGGAATTCCCGAAGCACTCAAGCACCCAGGCGTCGTCTTTAGACCGTCTCCAGATGGCAACGTCGGATAATCTATGTCAACTCTACCTCGTCAGAGTGCAGACAAAAAAAAGCCCCTAAATGAGGCGTCATCGACTCTCGGTAATTTAGAATGCCGCGCAATAAGCGGTGGAGCTCACCTGCAGGTGGCGCAAGACCGGGTTCCGCTGGGCGGCCATGGAGACTATCTCCTCGGAGGTCGGCACGTCTGCATTCGACAGGCTCGAACCGAGGACCAGGCTCTTCCAGGAGCGCAGCTCACTCCCCCTCATGTCGAACACCCTCAGGATCTCCGACGGCAGTGCGGCCATCTGCTCCAGGTTTGTCTCCAGTTCTGTCAACTGAGCAGATGGTGAAATCGACGATTTCTCTTGTTCCTCTGCTACACTTACTCGAAAGTTTATCCCAACCCTACAGGTAAAGTTGGTATCTACAAAATGTGTGTCCACAGTATTCTTTACAATTTGCAACAAACTTCACAGTTTCTTTTTTAAGCGATAATTGTTTTTTTATTTTATTTTCAGGCCACTTAAAGGTGTTACTGGCTGCTTATCTTCCTTTCTAAATTTAAAGTGGGAAATGATGTCATCTGATCTTTTCGCAAATTCAGTTTGCCCGCTAGATTTAGCGGGAAAATTGATGTGACATGATTGGAACCCCCTAGTTCAGTTTTCTCGCTAAAGTTAGCGAGGAAAATGACGTCGCATGATTTGGGGTCGCGTGGCCTGTACACGAATTCAGTTTCCCCGCTAGATATAGCGGGGAAAATGACTTCACACGGCTTGATGTCATGTGACCTAGACACAAAATCTGTTTACCTGCTAGCGCAAAAATTTACATGTGACCGGCTGCAGCTCTTTCAGTTATGTCTGCAGCTAATTGCTTAATTCGACAACATGGTTGAAGATTTTGATGAGCGTGTTGGAACAGATGTAACAGTACGAAAGCACAAAACGAGCAGGAGGACGAAAACAGAAGTGTAGAAGCTTTCAGTAACCAAGTTGGTTCCAACCGAATTTTTCTTTTAGCTTCCTCGGGTTATACGGATAGAATCCGACGGAGAGGTGATGAGAGCATGCGGGCATGTCGCAGCATCAAGCTCCGGTCGGAATGATTAGTAGGTAGATGCAAAACTAGCTGCCCTTCGTCTCTACTCCCTGTTCAAACGCAAGCGCCGAACGACGGGCAAAGACGTTTGGCGTGCGAACAGCGAGTTTTAACGGTGTTTCCTCCCCGCAAGTCTCCCCTGTAGCGCAGCAAACAGAGCATCGGGCTCGTGACTGTGGGGCCTAGGTTCGATTCCCGTCGGGGCACGTTCGGAATTTTCTCCTTTCTTCTCACGTAATGACTAGTCCTTCTCAATTGTGCATTCTTTTGTAGGTTGCTCTCTCAAGAACGTGTTGCACGTTGCGCAACAGTTTCTGGGGCATTCCGTCACACTTTCCTCGGGAATCCCAGCCCTTTCACAAGTTCCCCGTTAAAAGTCACCAGTTGGCCTAAAAGGAGTTAAAGGTGTGGTGCAACAATATATTAACTTCGAAAAAATCTGTAGTTATTAAGTTTTATATTGTTTATGTTACTGAAAGGGACAGACAAGCCGCCTCATTCTTTGGAGGTATCGCAATTCCGTTGTGTAGTAGCAAACAAACAATGGGAATATTTCGCAATTTGCAGCTGCAAGGTGGAAGGCTGGCTGCATTGTAATAAGTTGGCAAGATGGGCCATTATGTGCTCAATCCAAGGCACATAATGGCCCATAATCTATAAATATTGTTGTTTCAACGTAAGTGTGTCAAAAGCCTCGTATCATGGACAAAATTATACTATATGCAGTTTTAGCGGTGCCATCTCCTCAAGGTGAACAAAACCATTCCTCTCTCCGAGTCTTACCCCGTTCCTACTTTGTCGACCCGACTTCCTTATGGTAAGTCAAGCGCTTCGCTCCTCCCCTCCCCTCCCTCCTCCCCCTCCCTTCTCCTCCTCCTTTTTCTCCCCACTCTCCACATTGCTCAGACCAAGCTTAAAGGTAGCTATGTGAATCGCAAGCAGAGGCAGCGTGTGCTCGAGGCTCCGAAAGAGAATCTGACCGGCTACTCTGTTTCTCCAGCGCACCCTGCTACACGTCACTGCTCACGTGACTCTGGAGTCGGTGTAAGAGTTGAGAGTGGTTGGGAGGTGCCCAATAACTGCTTGACAGTTTAAAAAAAACAAGGATTAATGGACTCGGGCAAAACTGGTTTTCCAGTTCTTTACTCCAGACGTGACAGGGAACAACTACCACAACTATTTGACCCAAGTCCAAATATTGTTGGGGCACCTTTAGGAAAGATAACAAGGACAGAATTTGCGGAGATGTTAAAACCACTTTGAACGCAGCTTGCACAGTTGAACAGTATCCTTTGCCCGTGGTTCGAGACACGCTTGCCTGTTGAAACGGCGGTAAAGTTTTTAGCACTCTTGACTTACGTAATGCTTATAATCGGGTGCCGTTGGACAAAGTCGCCCAAAAGCTTTGTGTAATCAACACTCAGAGAGGCTTATTTGGTTATAATTGATTCCATTTGTTACTTCCTCTGCTCCGGCCATTTTTAAGAGAAAAATGGATGTTGTATTGGAAGGACTACCGGGCGTTCAAGGGTATCTGAACGACGCGCTTGTTGCCGAGAAAAGGGATGATAACAGGGAGTAGCTGAAAAACTTGTTGAAGCGTTTCCGCGAACACGGCATTAAACTAGGGCAGAACAAGTGTACATTTTGCCAGCCGGCTGTTACCTATCTCGGTCATCGGAAAGACCGTAATGGCCTCCAGCCAACAGAAAAAAATGTGAAGGCCATCACGCAAGCACCCAGTGTGTGCGCAACATTGGTGACCTGCATTTGTTCCTTGAAACGTTGGCGTTTTACTCCAGACTTTTGCCAAACATGTCTGCTTTGCTTTTCCCTCTGTATCGACTCGTGGAAATGAATGCACAGTGGCGGTGGAAACAAGCACAAAGAAGGCACTGTCAACAACGCCAAGCGTACAGTACGTTAAAAGATGCCCAAGTCCCGCTTTATTTTGATCTGTCAAAGGATTTAAAGTTAAAACGTGATGCGTCTGCATAACCCGCAGGCGCAGTTCTGTTCCACACTGCCGGCAACGTGCACAAACCAATTGGCTCTCCCTCCAGAACATTACCCCAAGCTGAACTAAATTATTTTCGACGGCAGCGAGAGGCGCTGGCACTTCTGTTTTGCGGGATAAAATGTCGGGATTACCTTTCAGGTCGGGGTCGAGAGTTTACCTTGCTTACCGAACACCATCCCTTCCTGGGACTGCTCCCAACGGACCAACTGACCGCCAGACACCGGCAATGGCCACCACTCACATCAAACGCTGGGCGCTAAGCTTGGGTGGCTACTGCTGCGAGCTGCAGTACGTGCCAGAGAGACAGCTACTGAATTCAGGTGCCCTCGGCAGACTTCTGCTGCAGTGAAAGGAGCTGGCTACCAAAGGCAAGACCCCAGAGCATGTTGGCTCTCAAAAGCATGGACGAGGGAGTGGTGACCAACGCAGAAATTCCGCTCCAACTCGTGTCAAAACACCACATACTCCATGGCTGGCCCAGAAGCAGAATGTTTCTGGCGCCGCCCTTGCCGCCTTGTTACGATCGTAAGCTGGAGTTATCGGTAGCGCATGAGCCGGTGTACTGGGGAACTCGAATGGTCCTCTCGGCCAAAGCCCAAAAGAGAATGCTGCAACTTCTGCGTGAAATGAAAGTTCTTCGTCATTGAAATCAATTGCGCAGTCGACGTTTTGGTGGCCCGGGCCAGAGCATCATGTTGGAGAGCTACCTATCATCTCGCTGCAAGAAATGCGTAACCGATTTGTGCATGCAAACGGCAGCTCCCCCGGTAAATTGGCTGAAAAACGAAGATAAGTGGTCTCGTAAACATTTAGATCTTGCTGGGCCGTTAGCGGGGAAGCCGGCACCCGTTGCATATGCCCACACTAAATGGATCGAAGCCATGCCCATCAAACACGCCAACACAACGAGGACGGTCAGCGGCCCACGTAGCATTTTCAGTCGTTTCGGCGTACCGCGCACCGTAGTTTCAGATAAAGGAACGCAGTTCGCAAGTGAAGAGTTTGCTACATTTATGGAAATTAACAACATTACGCACCTCCAGACGGCTCTGTACCATTCTCAATCCAATGGAGCATCAGAAAGAGTGGTTCAAACTGTAAAGGATGGCCTTTGGAAAATGAAGGAAGGGAACACGGAAGACAATCTGATGGGGTTAGGTACTTCTCAACTACCGACGGACGCCGCAGAGCACCAAAAGATCACCATCGGAGATGCTGCTGGTCTTACCAATTGAGATCTCGTTTGGATGCACATATTTAATCAATTAATAAATACACTTCTCCGGACTTACAGTTTGCTGATCCCGCCGGCAGCACAGAAACAGGCTTAAAGTAATTGTAGGCCCCGAGAGACTTGTATGCCTGAGAGACTTGTACGTGAACAGACTTGGCGCAAAAACTAAATAAATGACGACGTGAACCATCGACGTCGGTGGCAGCAACTTCACTTCACGTCGGAACTCCAGCAGTTCTTGTTTACGGTGTTTGAATCGTCGAAGGCAACGCCAACCACCTACAGTTTGTCTCGATACCACTGCCGTTCAGCTTCAGGTAGCGAGCACAAATAGTCAGGCATAACATACAACAAAAGCTAGGAAATACGACGCACAAATAAAGCTAAAAGCGTCTCTAGAACGTCAACAGCGAGCGCATGCCACATAAGGTAATGGCGAAAACACGGAGAGCCTGGCCGCTTCTGCCCACATAGCTTCTGCGCATGCGCAGCCCTCTGGCCGTGTTGCTAAACAGAGCCGCGTCGATGCGTGTTGGTCTGTATACTGAATCGACAGACGGAATAGACTCGTCAACCTAGCAGCTTGTCTTTCTCGCGCGGGCTCCGGCATGCTGTGGCATTGCTACAGGTAGTACTTGATGACCCTTACAAAGTTTCTAAATAGAACCATAGGTTTATTCTCATTAACTAGAAAGATAATTTACAAACTCTAGTTAATTATCCAACTTATCGTGACAACTATCCCCCTATATTACTAGGTTGCCCTGGCCGTAAAGCCCACCTGCACAGACCGTGTTAATGTAATGGCCGATTCGTCTGGGCCCGCATTGCACCCGTCCGGTGCAGTAAACTCTTTCCACTTTAGTACACGAAAGACTGGCGAGGAGAGAAGGAAGCTCCCCTCACCCCTCTAGCCTTTTGTGTACCACGAACCGCACTGCACCGGTGCGATGCGGGCCCAGGCGAATTGGCCATAACTTTCCCACCATTTTTTAGAAAAATCTGTCAAGTCCGAAAAGAAACAACATAAAAATTTGGGAAGTGCAACACCCTGATGTCACGTGTTGCCTGACGTCACTGTGAGTCGCATGATAATGCGATATCACGTGACACCACAAGGTCACGTGACCTGGCGTGGCCTGATGCACATCACACGGTCAGGTGATCACATGTCCAATAGTGGCACCAGTCAGTTGACCATGCTACTCAGAGTGGTGTCCTTCAAAGCTTAGCATGACATTGGCTCACTAAATTTACCTCATGACGAAAGAGCTAAGGCTATGGCAACAGCAATACGATGGTTGCACAAATGTCTACTTTGCTTGCGTTAAAACTGTATTCTGCATTGACTTTTCGAAAGCTGGGTTTCTTTTCCCACATGTCGAACAAATATTGCGGTCCCATGCAGAAAAAGAGTAGCATGATTATGAAGTGTACTTATCGAAGACACAATGAGCTATGGGCTGAAAGTTAATGCGGAGTGCAAGTTTGTCTGCTTCTTGCACAAGAATTGTGAGGATGTCATAACGCCGAGCTCTTATTGGCCGACTGAAAAAAATAGTGGGTAGACCTCAGGGCATCTAGTATTGAGATCTACCCACTATCTTTTCAATCAAAGCCAATCAGAGCTCGGCATCATTCTGACGTCCCCGCGACCCCTGTGCAACAACCAGACGACTTACACTCCGCATTGATGTCTGTATGCCTCCAACCTAGGATATTTTTCTCACATTATACTTTTCGAGGAACGGTACTATGCAAAGTGGCCCCTCTATCTCGTTTCAAAACAATTTTGACCAACATTTTCTTTTTTAATGTTTGAATGACTCAAGATTAGCTTTTCTGGAAGAACGAAGGAGCAACCCGGAGACGAAAACCCCTAAACAAAACTTTTCACGTGCCGTCAACAGGTGTTAGTACGATACAAGACATTGCCCCACATGCCAAAAAATAAAATCGACAGCCCAGATGGGAGAGGTAGTGAGCAAATATAAACTGAAACCCGCATATGAGCACGCCCAGGTACACTCGGGCATGGTGCTTAAACGGTTAAATAAAAAGCACCAACGTCCCGAGCTGACCACCCGGCCGCTCCGAGCCAGGGGGGCCGGCCACCACTCACGTTGGGGCAAACTCCGGCCAGGGCACAGGCCGCCTCAGTGTCCACCACCAGGTGGTTCACACCCAGGGCCGAGCAGTCCCCGTACAACTGACGCAGCTCCAAGGGGCCGACGTGCACCATGCCGGGGTCCCTCGCCCCCACGTGCACCCTCAAGTCGTGCAGCAGGTACAGCGTCCGCATACCCGCAAAGCCCTTCACCAGGGAGCTCAGGAGGTTCGTGTTGTGCACCAGTACCACCGTCGGCGTCCGGGAGAAAACCTGCAGGAGACCAGCAGTGCCTCCTCGATGACGAGGCCACAGCGCTTCGTCTTCTGCGTCGTCTGCCCGCGGCCAGCGCGGGTCGTGGACTGGGCGCAACCACCGCGTCGGCATTCAGCTGGGAATCGGGTCTTGACACGTTCAACGCAAGTCCCAGCCGAACGCCGACGCGGCGCTTGTGGCTTCATTGTTCGGGGCATTACCGTGTTGACGAGAGGCGTGGGAAGAAGATTTCGAGCCGATAGAAACTTATAATGCATTTTTAAGGAGCTCATACTCGGAACTCCTTCTCATCTTTTACCAGTGTGTTCCCAATCGCGAGCACGTTTATATGACCCCTTCCCCTTTCAAAGCGTCGCTTCCTGTAGCGATTTGGTGGCCGTGACGCAGAGGCATTGATCAAACCCGAGAGAGAGGAGAGAGGGGATGTGGGAGAGGGGGAAGACTAGCACATGAAATGCGTGTTGGAAGAGCCCATCTTGTGTTGCCCTTAACCGTGGCTTCTGAAAGATGTCGCAGTCACTTATTTACCTCTAGTAATGAATATACCAGTGGGTCTCAAATGGGGGTCCGTGGACCCTTTGGGGTGCCCAAAGGCCTTCTTAAGGTCCCCAAAGCCCTCGACCTTCAGTCGAGCCAAGCAACAAAACTTCTTTCATTACTAAGGCTGGCTGTCCCACAAAGCTAGACAAACCAAGCGATGGAATCCAAGTGATTAGGGTTGATTACTTTTCATTTAAAAGCTTCAAAGTGGATTTCCATGCATTTAGTTTTCTTACATACCCTTTTGTCATTGTAATCAGGGGCCCCATCCGGGCAAATGGGGCCCCATCACCTCTGTCAAGCCAGAAGGAATCGCCGACACATCAGTGGTTGAGAACAACTGGATTATACAATTCCAAGAAATGGGTGTTTGTGCCATTGAGATCAAGCTTGACCGATGTTGTAGGCTTGGGTGCTGCTACCTTGTGCGCCACCCACGGGAACACCGAGGGCAAAAGCAACAAACTGACAGACTAAGCTTTTATTGCTGATTAATGCCTAGCATGAGACAGCATAATCTCAACGACCACCCTGAAAAAAAGCAATATTGAAAAACAAATTCTTTTGTAGCCTGCACCATTAGATAAACTGCACAGCATATACTATTAAATTTTAAACATGTATAGTCTGCTGACTATAGGTAGGAAAATATTGCAAAGCAGTGCTTCCCAAGCTCTGCAGCTCTGCCACCTACCAAAAATATAAAGCATTGCGTTACACACGACGGTGCTCACGACGAGAGATGCTATGCAACGACTATCTTCGCACCACTGAGGCCCGAGATACGTACAGGCTCTTCTGCACAACACCACCACGAAGCAACGCACGATACATTCCGATATTACTGCCTCTGCCACAACAGTGTAGGAATGGAGCAAATATTTTCTCCCGGCTTTATGATGGCCGACATCAACCAACCGGAAAGCTCGTCCAAGCAGATGATGCGGAACTTGGGGAAGATTCTGTGACTTTACAACCAGCTCGTCGGCATCTTGCAGTGGGTACTGTAGGTAAATATGGCAGAGCCAAAGTATCGCCATCCTTTCCCTTTCACCGCCATGTCCTCACTAGTGAAAAAGGGTCAGCTGTGCCAAAACAATCCAAAGTGCTGGGGGGGAAGCGCAGAGTTTAGGACGGGACATATTTTTCGCGTTGTGTTTGCGAAGAGTAGCTCTTTCTCTGAAATCTGACAAGCAGGAAGCTTCTTAAACCTTTAAAAAATTGTGTGGACCAAGAGGAGACTGTGCAACTGCATTTTTGTTTATAATTCCAGTGGTGGTTTAGAACACTGACGCAGCAGACGACAGAAGCAGCCGACACATTTTAAGCCACCAAAGGTGCACAATGACTCATGTACGGTGCGTCCCCGCTGCATAGTGCCGTGCCCACCCCATCTCATGCAAGAGCACCCATTGCTTCCCGCAATACTTTAAGAACCGAAAGCTGAGACCACCGCGATAATCTGCACTGCAAGTGGATCACATACTGTTACTCTAGCGGTGGACGCACCTGAGCAACGGCATGATCGAAGCGTTTGCTCGACCCGAACGGGAGGCAGTCCGCGAAGACGACCGTTTCGGGCCGCAGCCCCTTGAGGAAATCCTGGTGTTTCGACAGGGCCCCTTCCGGCACCCGCAGGAAGGGCCCCACGGGGGTCACCTCCTTGGGGAGGGACTTCCCTGGAGGCCACACCTTCTCGGGACGGACCAGGACCACCCCCTGCTCGTAGACCACCTCGTAAGGGTGCAGGCCGACGAGGGTCCAAAGGGACTCCATGCTCCCCTCTGCACAAGGACGTCGGAGGACAGAGTTTGGTGTAAAACACGTGCCTACAGAAGTCAGCCGCGTCGCAAACCTTGCCTCGCTAAGATGCGGACGAAGTTAACCGAGAGTTGTGCGGGTGGCGCCATCTCTTGATAGATGCGGCAAGCAAACGTTGGTGATGGCTGCTTTCGACCGAGCGCCGTCGTCTGCTTTCGTCTGAACGCCATCGTTTGCTTTTGACCGACTCCATTATCTGCTTACTGCAGCTATCGGAAAAGAGTGCTAGATCACGTCGACCCAAAGCATTCCCTTGCAAGCTTCTATAGCAATATTATTTGTTGCCTTAGCGAGCACCTGTTCCAATGCACGGAAAAACAATATACCAAGCACACTAATTGCAGGCACATTCCAGGCACCGTAGCCGTACTGAAGTGCAATGTCCTAATTTCCAGCTCTCTAGAATAATTTTGTTAAACGCTTCAACATGTCCCGGCCGGCTAACAATGTGAAGGCTGTTTTTAAGAGTTTCCACATAACTACAAAGTTCATTCATGAAAGAAACAAAATCTACTATGTGCCAGTGAGCAGACCTCATGTTTTATATCAAGAGATGTGTTGAATAAGTAGGATATGTGTGTTGGGAATAAATCATTGTTGCCTGTGTGGTGCACGCGTTACAATAAATAGGCGCACTTCGCGCGAACGTAGGTTCCTCTTTTGCTGCGTGAATTATGACGCCGTACAAAATTCAGAGCTCTACCCAAGCAGGCAAAAGAAGTACGACCACAGCCACCTGCAGCGGGAAGCCATTCGTACAAACAAAAACGACGAATGGACGTGAGAACGCGAACCATCGAGAGAGTCATTTCGACGGTACCTTGCTCTGCGGGTAGACATACCTGGGTCGTGACAAGTGCTCGCCTCAGTCCATCAAGAAATGTGCACGAATACGTCGGCGAAAAGCTCTGGTTACTTCCACCAGTCATACACAGGTCATCACAGTTTCAACCACAGTGGTTTCAACGGGACTAGGGGTGATGTCGATGTGGCATATTCCACGGGAGAAACGTACGAGCGCGTTTACGAATGAACATCACTCCGTACCAGTGAAACGAGCAGAAGCTGTCAGCGTGTTAGTTGGTCGCTATTTACCTGTTGACTTGACCGGCGATGTCAGTGTTCGTTAGATATCTTTTCTTCCCAACAGACGATGAAAGTGAAATTCGCGGGGTCTGAAGTTCTCGACCTCGCCGATTTCGAAATCGACTTCTTTTTCCTTATATTTTTTTGTCTAGTTTCTGCGACTCTAAACAGATGGCAGCATGTGTCGTGTTCTCGCGATTATCGTCAAACGTTTCGGGTGTTTACCACATTTGTGAGGTAGCTTGAAGTTTCGGGACATGATTCCTTTTTAATAACATTTTTTTTTACTAAATTACTAAGTTTTAAATGAGAGTGCACGTATTTAAAATATGCTACCTACTTTCGGTTTCGACCGGCGCTATACGGAATTCGTCGATTCGAGGAAGAGACCGAATGCGTAGATTATTTTTGCAGTGACAAAAATCATGCAAAGTTTGTTGTATCCTGAATTGCTCAACATGTCCGATTCATCAATCCGATCACTCTATGATAAAAATGCGGAGAAAATTACTGTAAAGTGCACACTTAACTTTTTATTGGCGTAATCCCCGCCATAGTAGAACAAAAACAGTTTGATATTCTAAATTAGCTAAAAAGTCTTGATTTTTGTTTTTCGCGTTCTGTTTCTAAGTGACCCGATTTGCTAAGAGTTTTCTGTCTGTGTTCAATCTGATATATATCTTTCATGAATGACGATTCCTTGAGTTCAGTTAAAAACCAACACGGAAGGCATACCATATCAAAGGTTAGACAAATGGTAAATAAAAATGATTTTCGGGATTATTTCTTCTGTGAAGATTTAAATTAAATCACAGTAAAAATGGTCCGAATTAATTCCCGATTTTCATTTTCCGCCCTGCTGAAAGGAAAACGCGCATGTTACATGATCCCTCCTTCTGTAATTAAACATTAGTTTGTCTCGCAAATGTGAATAGAAAGGGAGGGGGGTCACGTGCCAAACTGTTGATACTTGAACTTCAGCTTAACCCTTTGGTTCTTCCAGCTGTTTCCAACGTTGGTCCTTTTGGCAACAAACGATAGCTCAAATGAAATGCACGACAAAGAATGAATGCTTGCAATATTATTTTTGCTTCTTTGCGAGTTATTATATTATTCAAGTTGTCAGTAAAGCAATCCCTACTAAACCTTAGATCTCAATAAAAGAAAAATCCGAAGACACCTAAGCACTTTTTACAAGTTATGAATGCAAAAGCATGAATGTCGTTATTCTGGTTCGATTTACAGGTGTGGACGACCACATCTCACTACGGCTGAGGTTGCAGCCTACAGCCGAGCGCACGCTTTCATGAAGCGGCCGCAGGAAAAAAACCACCAGTCGCATAGTAGTGCTCTGAATATGGTATATGGACTCGTCTGAAAGATGTGTTTTGGCTAAGCTAGCTGCCTTCAACAGTAGCCATGGAGCAGTGGCAATCAGTTCATCAAACGTTTCATCAACACGCAATGTTTCATTGACAAATTGTGTCATCGACAGCTCAAATGATCTTTTTTTCTGTAATAAGCTGCACGAGACTGTAGCTGCAAAGTGGCGTGTACGGGTTGGTCAGGTGGGTTAACATTTTTGCAAAGAGCCGCCACACACTTTCGCCGAGGGGGGGTGGATTAACGTACACCCCAGTGATACATGCGTAACGAGATGTCCATACAGCATGCAATTCGAGTAACAAGTGTTAACGAAACAATAGCGTCGACGAATCGTGTGTCCATGAAACGTGTATCCATGAAAAGTTGTCAATGAAACGTAATTTCACGAAACGAGTTTCGACGAAATGATAGGGATTCGCCATGGAGGCCGGTTTTCCGCCTCCATGCACAAGTGTCACGAGAGAAGCCCACTTCAGAGCTAAGCGGACCACCACAAAATGCTGTGGTGGTCGCTTGTGACATTTTAATGTCCCAAATACAAACGTTATGTCGAATAAATGTGCCCAAATTCGGTAACTGCAAATGCTTTCTCATACATGAAATGAAAGGCACATAGGCCATCAATGTTTAGAAATTCAACTTAAAAAAAAAATCAGAATTTACATGTAAACTAAGACCACCGGCGTTTATTATCTCCAACCTATAGTACAATTTAATAAATATGAATATTAGAATGTTTGCATGTTTAAGTCATGCAAATATTAATTAAGTGTTCACAAACAACAAAATGAGAAATGTAGGAAGTTTTCTCCCGACGTGTATGAGCTCAAAGTTACATAGTAAACCACAAAGCGGTTTAGCATCAATCCAGGATATGATTGAAAATTGGTTTTCGCTTAAACAACCATCTCTTCCGTGAAACCTTATCTCGCTTGATTCGTTCACATAGCATAATTATAGATGAAAAATGTCTTATGCGAGTGAAACAATGTATTCCTAAACAATTCAGAGTTACAAAAGGCACCCTACTGTTCATATTACTCACATATCCGGACTAGCATTTACTTTTCAAAAGCCAAATGAAAAAACTTTTTTTTTTTGTAAACGAAAAACAAAGAAATTGGCATTCTCTTTTATTCGTGTACTTGTCAACAGATATTACATGGCAGCCTCTTTTATCATTTGTCAATATTTTGCAGGGGTACCTTGAAAATAAATATTTGGACAAACAGTTTGTTTTTATGAAGGGCTAGCCTACGAAACATTGCAAAGGACACTGCCAACAAAACACCGTGTTGGTGTACATGAAAAGTTTTGAGAACAGCACTGGATATAAATGAGTACATTCTACACATCTTTTCCACTGGTAATGACACTAAGGTCGTTGTTTTTATTGCACAACAAAAAATTCATAATCTTACACAGGCCCACAAAAGTGCTTGTATGTGAGGCCCAACAGCAGAAATACTAGTTATAATTCTTTTTTTATATTACAAATATCCACATAAAAAAGGAAAGCAAAAAAGAAAATATGCAGCTTTTCATACAGCCCGTACAACAATTCAGGTATCATAGTCGATACACCAAGCTCTCTTTTACAAGCTCCAAGTGACTGCAGTTGAAAAAGTTTGCCTGTTAACATTGGTAAATATTTCGGTAGAGCAAACCGTCCAATCTTTAATGCAAAAAAATTTATAATGACGATTTTTAAACTAGTTTCTAAATGACCCAATATCGCTCCATATGCTGCATTTCAAGTTGTCTCGTAAATCACAGGTGGAACCAAGGAGGGAGAAACAGAGAAGACAACCAACTGCTGGAGGACCATTTTAATAAATCATCCTGCTCTTCTACTAGTTCTTATACTTTTTTTCTTTTGTCTTTTGTTTTTCCTTCCTTCCTTTTTCAGCTGGTTTGCTTTTTTGAATAATTCAAGTACCTCGCACACTTTAAATCTCAAAGCCATTTCAGTTGAGTGTCAGCTGCAATCCAGATAGGTGGACACTGCTCGAAGGCACTTGGCCCGGCAATCGATGTGTGCGCTTCAGGATACATCATAAAAAATATAAAACATACCCAGATATTTTACTGACGACTCATACCCATTAAGTGAAGAGCATGTTGGTAACAATGACTGGCAACAGAAAGAATAAAACAAACTCCGGACGAGGGACAATGTTGTCCCTTGTCCGGAGTTTGTTTTATTACTTCTGTTGCCAGACCCATACTTTTGTGGAGAACTCTTGGTTTTTGCAGTTGGACACATGTAAAGGCCTGTTCACACTCTTGCAACCGAGTACGCCCGAGAGAGACGAGACTTGTTAAAACCTCTTAAAATTTCGAGAACACACTGGCACGCTGGCGCCATCTATGCGGTGACCCTGGCACTGCATTTCACAAGAGCGAAGGTTTTGCGGGATTTCCGAGGTCAAATGTGCGCAATACTTATAAGAAAGGCTCGTTTGTAACGTTGACAAAAGTTTTTCGAGCCAAGAAAGGATAATGCACAAGAGAAACAGAAAATATGCCGGACCGCCAAGTTTACACTCCTACCCAATAGATGGTGCCAGTGTGTCCTCTTCTTGTAAAAGGTTTTAAGGAACCCAGTTTTAAGAGGTCGCAAGAGTGTGAACGGGCCTTAAGGCTAATGGCACAATAAGTTTTAACAACTTGTGATTATGGAACCACAGTAATTGTTTTACTGATGTCAATAAACATATGCCTGTTTTTGAATGATGCCACTAGTCCATATCTGGAATGAAAATCTATGCACTGTTGCAAATTAAGAAACGCAAAATAAACTCCTCCTGCACAGACTCCCACTCTACCAAGCAAATGCCGGACAGGAAGTGAGAGAGGGAGACAAATCCACTCGCCCAACAACGCCTAGAACACAAGGCCATGATTCTGACATTCCAGAGTCACCAGCGAAGGCCAACGCCGAACAGATTGGAAACGAGTGGTGCGTCAGCGCTCGGCTTCGAGTCAAGTTTGAGACGAACATTGATGCAATCGTCATGTCCAATCAGTGATCAGCATTGGCCTTCGCTGATGATATCTCTATCTGCGCTACGGCATTATTGAGGTGATGTTGACTCACCTCCCTTCCATGTTTGCTCTGCTGAAGTGGAGGGCTTTACGGGAGGAGATCGTCCTGCTTTTTTAAACCTGCCACAAAGCATAGCATCAAATTCATCCTTCCTTACAAGAACCAAAGCAGTGTTGTCAGTGTGCTGAAATACCTGGCGACAAGAAAGTGCGGCTTACTGATTTGATTAATACAAATTCAATAATTTATATATGAGCAATATCTGGTCAATGGAATTAAATTCAATTGTCCTTTACCTGCATTTATTTTCTTAAATTCAATTGACCACAGAATCAGAAAAGCCACATGTGATGAGTATCCATCACATGTGGCGCCTTTTCCGATGCTCAGTTAAATATCGGTTCAGCGAGAATGCCTTTCCACAGCTTTCGCACCTGTACGACTGCTCTCCCGTGTGGGTCCTCTCGTGAAGCTTCAAGCTGTGCTTCAATTTGTATGTTTTCCCGCACGTGGTGCACTTGAATGGCCTTTCACCCGTGTGTATCTTTTCGTGAGCCAACAGGTGGGTGCTCTGAGCAAACGCCTGCTGGCAAAACTGGCATCTATACGGCCTCTCCCCCGTGTGGATCCTCATGTGACGCACCAAGCGGCGCCGTTCCGAAAACTGCCGGTGACAGATCTGGCACCGGAACGGTTTTTCACCCGTGTGCACTCTTTTATGGCAGTCCAGCTGACCCTTCCGTGCAAACGTTTTGTGACAGATTAGGCAGCTGTAGGGTTTCTCCTTTGTGTGCATTCTTTCGTGAATGGTGATGCAACCTTTTTGCCGCGCAGTGTAAGGACAAAAGCGGCACTGGTATTTGTCCCTTTGTCGCGCTTGCCTCGCCCATGGCCGCCTTGTCCACCAGTCTTGGAAGGAGAGTTGACTCTCGCTGTCCTGATGGTTCAAGCTTTCCCTCTCATCGTAGAAGCCTACAAAGTCTGTTGGGAAGATACATCATTTTTTAGTGGTATTGCAACACGCAGAACAAAAGCTGCACCGAGCTGAAAGGGGGAAGACAAGAGAAAGGGTAGCACTGCTCACCCACAATAAATAAACAAATCTGTGACCTGCACATTTATAAGACTACCTCAAGAACACCAGAGCCAAAGGAAACCTATATGCATAAACAAGCACACCATCACACAATGTTTAGAATGTATTCCTAAAAAAAAGTAATATATGCTTAGTTTTTGATGGAGGTAATGCACATTACATATTCCTATCAGTCAGTAGATGGATATACAAGAGAGGCATGAGGTGCACATCCCTCAAAAGTATAAACAGGATGTGGAAACAACACATGCATGACATTATTCAGTGCCTCTATCCAATCGGTTTTCTCGCAAAAAGAGCTCGTTCTTGTCCTTTCATTCGAAGCTCTTCCGCTTGACACTGTCTTGAGTAGACCTGTTGGGAAGACGCATGAAATCGGGTCAAGAGAGTGACATTGCCCTCAGTTTAGAGTAGCTGCCTTGATTTCAATGTGCAACCCCAGAAAACAGCCTACCTTAGATATTGACAGTAAAAGTCCAATTATTGAGATGCTAACACGCGAGTTGTTAAAGTAAATCGTATGAATAACAATAACTTTATTCGGAATTCCTCAGCCCCAAAAGAATAAGTGCTGGGCATTAGTTAGCATATGAAACATCATAGTGTCATAATGCATATTGTATTTTTAGAATGAAATGTTTTATTGCAGTGATTCAGCAGGAAAATAGACACAGGCATTTTTTTCAGCTTAGTACAAAATCTTGCATTTTGTTTTACATTGGTATATGAGCTCGTGTAGTAAACAACTGCATATTGTAAATTTGAGTAAAGCACTCCCATAATGCCCATGGATGGACAATGAAGAATCTCTCTGTTACCTTTCCCCTTATAGTGGCTCAATGCAGCTTCCAAGCACGGCACATTATACGAGAGTAGACCCAAGAGATACCGAAATTCATTTTTACAAAATCAAGTATTTATTTTTACACATTCATTTTTCAAAGTACTATCTGCTTGATGCAAACACCTGCCAAGAATGACGAAAATAATCCCTGGAGAAGGGGAACAAGAGAGACAAAGGACAAACACAAATCTCCAAGCACAGCTAGGTCATTCTTGTCCAGCTCGCCTGCACTTTTGCATTTAATTGCATTATAATCACTTGTCAAGAATTTCTCATAATCGTCAACCTTTAAACTCGTCAATGTTGATGACTTTCAGTGCTTCTGCCGTTTCTTGCTTTACCTCTTTCCACAATGGCAAACTGTTTCCCTTTAAGAACCTTCTCATCCAGAAAAACAAAAAAGTCACGCGTGGCAAATTTGGGTAAATAGGGATGGTGGGGTACAGTGGTCATACCGTTTTGGTCAGAAACTGCTGTTATCTCGTGTAGGCAAAATGACAAATCGAGTTCTGGCAAACAGGAGACTGGTTCAGTTCAGTTTATTGTACCTCAAAGGCATTTCAGAAGAAATGCATTACATGAGGGGGGATCAAATGACATATACAGATGGCAAATGAGTGACGACAAGGTAAATAATAGGAAAACGCAAAGAAAACAAAAAACTACAAACTAATAAGACAGATATCAGAACATAACATGTAGAAAAAGTAATTAACAGATTAACATGTTAAGGATCAACGCTTTTCGGGTGTGCCTTGCATAGTTCACGGAACGTCTTTGGGTTAGATTCACGTACTATGGATTTAGGAAGGGAATTCCAGTTCGTTTACCATAAGGCGCCTGCCCACACCGCAAGGGTTTAGCAATTTTCAACCAAAATGGCATGAACCCCATACCTCACCCTCCCTATTCACCTGACCTTGTCCCAAGTGACTTTTATTTGTTTCTCCAAATCACAAAAGTTCTGAAAGTGAAATGGTTTGCCAATGTGGAAGATGTGCAACAAAAATAAGAAACACTGAAAAACATAAAAATTGATGAGTTTAGAGGCTGTTTAGAGCATTGAAAGAAATGCCTCGACAAGTGTATTGCATTAGGCAGAGAGAACTTTGAAGGTGACTAAAATTTGAATCTGTAAAAATAAATTCCGGTTTCTTTTGGGTCCCTCTGTATACCTAACGAGCTTTATCATAGCATAACTCATTCCAAGGGCCAGTATCCTATGCCACCAGTTTATAAAACATAACAGTAAAAACAGATATGGTTTTAAACAAAAATTATTTAAGGTAAGACAATCTCTGAGCCAGCTTTGGCTCACCTTAGAAGTCTTTTACCTTACATGAGCTTACTGGCACTAGTGGGACCCAAGTAGTTGCATACAATGCCATTGACCAAGAAACCTCTTTGTTGCAATGTAATTTCAAGAATAAAAGTGAGCGTTTTCTCTCAATCTCTTCGAGAAATTTGAAGACGTAATTTGGAGGTTGGAGCATTGGCATAGTCCCCCAGTGATAATTGAATGCGGTTCATAGACTGGACATGAGCATTGCATGGACACTTGATTTGGGCTCACAATAATCAATAGCTTGACAACCATTCAGGTATTGGCTTGTGTCCAGTTGCTGCAATGACGACAATAGCCAAATCTTAACAATGTCTGAAACTCTGTTCCTGTCCTGTGCATTTCCAACTCCAGCACGTGGATATGATAAACAATGGTGGAATATAATCGGCTCCAGATCACATGGCCGCTTGTTCTGGCTGCGAGCTGCGGAAAAAAACACTGTGCTCGTTTTTCTTCCATTTTTTTTGTTTTTGTTTTGTAACTACTATAAAACAAGCGAAAAGAACTAATGTGTGTGTTTATAGACCGACACGCGGAGCGACTGTTTGCCAACACGGCCGGAAGGCCGCGCATGCGCAGTAGCTATGTGGGCCAAAGCGGACTGGCTCTTTGTGTTTTCGCCATTGCGTTGTGTGCTGTGCGCTCGTTTTTAACGTTGTAGGGACACTTCTAGCTTTATTTGTGTGTCGTATTTCCTGACAACGTATGTTGTATGCTATGCCCGACTATTTGAGCTCGCTGCCCGAGCCTGAACGGCAACGGTATCGAAACAAACTGTGCGTGGACGGCATTGCCTTCGAGGATCCGTACGCCGTAAACAAGGCCTGCTAGACTTCCGACGTGAAGTTGCTGCCACCGAATCGACGGCTCACGGTGTTGTTTATTTAGTTTTCGCCAAGCCAGTTCACGGCCGGCACGGTGCAGGCGTACAAGTCTCTCGAGGCCTACGATTGCTTTGAGTCGGTTTCCGTACTGCCGGCGGGATCAGCATACTGTGGGTCAACGGAAGTGTATTCAATAATTGATTAAATACACACAGCGTCTTGAAGTCAAGGTATGATATTTTTCCTACCCTCACGACCACAAGGCAGGACAAGCGGTAACGCTTTGTCCATTCTGCAGTCTTGGCGTTAACACCTTACAAGTAACGGCGTTACCAGGAACGCATTACTTTTTTCATTAAAGTAGTAACCTACTCGTTACTGTTTCGAAACAGTAGCGGGTAACATACTTACGTTACTCGTTACTACTTCCCAAGTCTTAAAGGAATTACACTTTAATTTTTTTGTGTTTTTAGGCGTCAACCCATGTTTTTCTTTGCGTTTTTTCTCGTGAGTATTTAGGTGAAACCGTAAAAGTAGATAAAGTAATTATGTTCAATTTCTGCATGAACATAATATTTCTTGATATATGAGCTTATGCTTATCTGTATCATCAAAGCCTTAAAACATATTAAATCATAATTTAAAAAGTAACGCAGAAGCAATGTGTGTTACTATTTACTGGTAGCGGTAACGCGTTCCTTTTATTTTTAGGTAAGGTAGCTCGGTAACGCATACCTTTTATTTGCAAGTAATGAGTAACGTATTTCGTTACTTTTTTTCGGTAATGCCTACAACACTGCCGTTCTGTCGCCGATCCCCTTTTGCTGGGTAGCACGGCGGGTGGAGCGAAAAGCGCTTGGCCGGTGCTTTGTGCACGAACACAGTGGGAACAAAATCCGGGTGGTCTTGATCAGGCGACGGTTTCCCTGCACATAAGCAAGCCTCAGGACGGAAATTGAAATGGAAGCCACACTTGCCTTCAAGAAAGTGCTGCTGCACAAACGGTCGTTCGCCCAAGGCGACCATTCTTTTCGACCACGGATATTTTCTATATATGCCTTTCAGAGTCTGCCGGGAACTTGTGGAAACTCACTCCGCTACTTTTCTTGTACATTTCGGTGCAATTAACGGCAAAACAGCTTCGTGGCATGCTGAAATGCTACGACGCCCATGCGAAACGTGCGCCCTTTTGCACACACCAGCCGGCTCCGGCGCGATCGCAGCGCCACCGCAGCTCCGCGACGTCAAGCCCGCATGTCGGTCTATAGGTAGAATTTTGTGTTTTCTGAGTTTATTTTTCGTGAAATTTGGAGGTTGTCTTTCAGAGTTTGTTTTTGATTAGAAATGCAGGGTTTATCAGTGTTTATTTTTGATAGAACCCCGATTCTCCAAAATTCTGACTTTAATTTTACTTTGTTCTTTTTTTTTTTTTTTTCAAAGTAAAAATAAAAATGTCTGGACAAAAATAAACACATAATTCACAAACTATCATTAGTATCCAAAGATATTTTTGCAGCTGCATGTGACATTGACACCATTGCTATTGGCACTACTAACTGTCCCACGACAAATCTTGAAAATATGTGTTATTCAATAAATATTGGTACTTTGAAAGAGACAAACCCCTGGGTGCATAAAACCTTCAGCTTCCCTTCCCATCTTATGAAATGTACAGGTTCACATCATTCACTGTTATAAAAACACAACTCGTAGCTCCTCCCTCTAAAAAGCATGAATAGTATGGTTCAAACTGGAAAGCGGAACAGTGGTTTTTGTCGCTGCCCATAAGTGTTGGCCCAGTGTTCTGAACGAACATCAACAAGATAAACGGGATACTACCTGTTGTCAATAATCCAAATAATAAAAAAAAAA